CTTTCCAAGTACCCTAATTTCTAATTAAACACAAATTAAGACAAATTAAAACTAAAAAATGCAAAAAGACCATTTTTGTTGTTTTCTTTATTTTTTCCTTAACTACTAATTAATCCTAAAATATGAAATTAAATCCTAAACAAATGTCAAGTGTATTTTTATATTTTTCATATGAATTAAAATGCACAAATAAAATGCAAACAATTAACATAAAATGTCACAAAATTGCAAAATAATGAAAGAAATCATTTTATTTGAATTTTTGGGAATAATTCATATAGGGCAAAAATCACGTGCTCACAGACATAAAACTTTATTAAAGCGGACAACCCCGCCAAATTGGTAGCGGCCACTAAAAGCATAACTGGAGAAAGGAACGTGATCAAGCTGAGGTAACAAATGCTTTTATTTTGTTTTAACTAACTATTTCTCTAAATGGAATAGAAGCAGGAGCATTCTCCCAGATACATGAACAGGAAATGCATCATATTCCCCAGCGCAAGAAAAATTCAGCAAACTGGGACTCCCCCAGGAAATGCATCATATTCCCCAGCGCAAGAAAAATTAAGCAAACTGGGACTCCCTCAGGAAATACGTCGTATTCTCCAATGCAAGCAAAATTAAGCAAATTGGGACTCCCCCAGGGAACCCTTTAAGGCTAAGGCCTTCGCCATCAAAGATCGGCAGGTTCGACCTCGTTCGAACTGGGACTAAGGCTAAGGCCTTCGCCATCAAAGATCAACAGGTTCGACCTCGTTCGAACTGGGACCAAGGCTAAGGCCTTCGCCATCAAAGATCGACAGGTTCGACCTCGTTCGAACTGGGACTAAGGCTAAGGCCTTCGCCATCAAAGATCGACAGGTTCGACTCGTTCGAACTGGACTAAGGCTAAGGCCTTCACCAAAAGAGAAATTTGACCTTGATCAACACGACGGTTANAATTTGATAAGTCGAATACACCTTAAGGCCAAGGCCTACTCCAAAACGAAGAAGAGTTCGACCTTGATCAACACGACGGGTTAACATTCGATAAGTCCGAAATAACACCCTTTAAGGCCTAAGGGCCTTACGTCCTAAAACGAACGAAAGAGTTACGTATCCTTGATACGAACAACGACGGGTTAATATTTGATAAGTCGAATAACACCGTTAAGGCCAAGGGCCTTCTCCAAAAAGAAGAAGAGTTCGACCTTGATCGAACAACGACGGGTTAACATTTCGATAAGTCGAAATAACACCCTTTAAGGCCAAGGGCCTTCTCCAAAAAGAAGAAGAGTTCGACCTTGATCGAACAATGACGGGTTAACATTTCGATAAGTCAAAATAACACCCTTTAAGGCCAAGGGCCATCGCTAAAAAGAAGAATTCGGCCTTGACCGAAATAACATTCGGCCTCGACCGAAATAACGTTCGGCCTCGACCGAATAAACCTTCGGCCTCGACCGAAACAACGTTCGGCCTCGTCCGAATCAACCTTATGGCCAAGGGTCGTCACTAAAAAAGAGGGGGTCGACCCTTATGGCCAAGGGCCATCGCCAAAAAGAGGAGGTCGATCCCAACGGCCAAGGGCCATTGCCAAAAAGAGGAAGTCGACCCCAACGGCCAAGGGCCATCGCCAAAAAGAGGAGGTCGATCCCAACGGCCAAGGGCCATCACCAAAAAAAAGAATTTGGCCTTGACCGAAATAACATTCGGCCTCGACCGAAATAACCTTCGGCCTCGACCGAAACAACATTCGGCCTCGTCCGAATCAACACTCGACCTCGTCCGAATCAACACTCGACCTCGTCCGAATCAACACTCGACCTCGTCCGAATTCACATTCGGCCTACTCACCCGTCCAGATTCGAGGGCGCAAATGACCTCCTCTAATGCCGCCATCTCGGCCTCGACGGCCTTCTCCAATTCTACCACCTTCTCGATCGACTCATCACTCGATTCATTGGCCCTTATCGAACTCCACTAAAGTTCATCCCCCGGGGATACCACTAACCTAAAAATCGGCACCCTCATTCGCGATCCACACTAGTCGACCTCCCTATCCGAATTTCTCAAAATTACGATTAATGAAGTCCGCTCACCGAGCTCGACCAAGAGACGACCTCGATAAGCGGAGGACTAACTGTATGGGTCAAAATTAGATCAGAGAAATTCGGCACACGGGGATATAAGGTCGTGGTCAGACAAGCCAAGGTCGGACCGTCATCAATAACCAAGGTCGGACCGCCATCAATGACCAAGGTCGGACCGTCATCAAACAGCCGTTTGCTTTGAATACTCAAAAGGAATATTCTACCGAATATTCCCTCTAAATTGTACCTTTTTTAGGATTTCTATGGATACCCCCTTATAAATAGGAGGGGAAGACTTCCCAAAAAAGGGGGGCTCGCTCTCTGTCTCCCTTTCCCTCTTTCTAGAAAATATGTGAACACACCTCTCCAAAGAATTGAGAGGATCAGTGATCTCATACCTTCATCAGATCCAAAAAAGGGTCATAAGGTTCTGGTATTTGTCTACCATTGATCTTTATTAAATGAAAGAAGATCCATCTCACTGAAGATCGGGTGAATCGTTTCCTTTATTCATATTTTTGTTACTTAATGCATCTTTACTTATTCCATTAAATCCGATCATAATCGCTGTCAACATTTATATTTGACTATGTTTTTCTATTTCTCCTACTCATCTCGGATCTAGAGTTAATTATCTTTAACTAGGATTCACCCCTTCATTTTTATTGATTGATTTGCTTAAAAAGAATTTAATATCTTTTGAGGCAAACAGCCTTGAACGAAAATTATCGCCCGATTTACACTGCATTCCCAAGCAACTCGACTCGTAGACAACGACATATGCGAAAGAATGATAAATTTTGTAGAATTAATACTTAAAAAACATATGGGAAATATGTAGTGTAACGACTGTTTGGTTCCACCTTCCCGGAACCAACGAGTGTAAACCAAACGCGGTCTTTTGAGCCCACTATAAATTGCTCTTCATTTAACTCTTATTTACTCAAATTGCCATTTGCCCCTTTCGTTCCAAGTTCCAACCCCGGCGGCCGCCCCCACAAACTTGCGTACGCAATCGCCCATGGTTTCTTATTAATATTTTCGTCTAATATTTCAAACTATTTTTACACTTCACCACTTTTCTTACAACAAAGAACAATAATTATGTCTCAATTGCAAATAAATTAGAGTCAAATATATAAGTTTTTACTCTTTTTTTTAAGCTCAACTCATAGCATCATCATTAGAGGCAGACCATCAATGACGGAGCCACAATTTTCGTTAAGGTGTATCAAAATATATAAAAGTAAACATATCAGGAAATTAAGGGGAGTCAATACATAGTATATATACATATAATTTATTTTTTACCTACCTACATAGTATATTTTTCCTAAGAAGGGGTGTCTTCCTATAAGGTGGCTCCACCACTGCAGACCACCATTATGGGTAGGGGGTCACCGACCCCAGGGGATTTTAAAAAAATGGATATATATATATATATATATATATATATACACACACACACACACACTCATCAAAAAAAGAATAGTCTGGTGCACTAAGCTCTCGATATGCGCAGGTTCCGGGGAAGGCCAGATCACAAGGGTCTATTGTATGCAGCCTTATCCTGTATTTCATCAAGAGGATATTTTCACAACTCGAACCCGTGACCTCCTGGTCACATGGCAGCAACTTTACCAGTTATTTCAAGGCTCCCCTTAAATGACAAGTATATATTTTGAATGGTACCCTAAGATTCAAATTTTCTCGGTTGCTAGATTGGTCGATTTGGGGGCACAATTTGACTTTTAGTACGTTGCTTGCGTTCGATACCAACTCTTGCATATGGTCAAATTTTTATTCGACAGTAGTGTCCCCACTACTTTCAAATCATAAGGCTCCCACTACTTTCAAATCCTAAGCCCGCCATTGATTATGATACTAAATTAAATAAATATTTATATTATGAGAATTCATAATGAATTGACCAGTTTTAGGCTGGCTACTGGTCTTCCACAATCCTCATTTGATTATTCGTGCTTGGAATCGACAATGTGAGTAAGCTCACTAATGCAGAGTTACTTCATGACTTTTCTTAAGTTATAAAATTTCACAGAAAATTTTGTCTTCTTGAATTTGCTTTGTAGCATTTTGTAATTTAAACTATTTTTGAGTCAGACAGTTGAAACAGACACAATAATTGAGGTGTTAATTAGTCGCAATCAATGAAATTATCTGATGATGTTGTATGATAGTTTTGTCTCATTAGAGTAATTTGCGCTTTATAATTGTACAATGTGTTGCTCGTTCTAAAATGGTGAACTTTACTCGTTATGAATTTGTTCCACATTTTGCAGATGTGTAATCAGAATTCAGTTGAAGTGCCAAAAATGAAATGGACCAACGGATATTTTTGTAAAGAGATTTTTACATTTCTATGTCATATAGTAAACTATATTACCCTAAATGTTCATGTTTAATAAATTACCCTACCTACACAAGTTTTATTTATAAAATACATATACTTCACCTTAAAAGGCTTTCAATCCATTATTAGTACCTTCAATTAAGAGATTTAGTTACACCATGAGCAGTATCGCTGCCAACCTTATTGGTGGCCATGAAAATACCGAGAACAATACTCAAGGGTACCAAAGACAAGAAGGGAAATGGCAAGAGCGATCTCTTTCATCGGTCCGCGATTGCTGTCGGCGTGAGAGCCGTCCATCATCATATCCTCGTTTGAAATCGAGAAAGCATGATCCACGTACGCCATTTTTCTGAAACAATTGAAAGGGTACTCTTTTCTTTTTTTTTTTTTTTTTTTAAATACTTTTTTTTGGTAATCAAATTTCATTACACAAACAAATATGTACATACTGTCATCGAGCTTAATCTGGACATACATCCCAAATTTTGCTCCACATTTCCTTCATCAACTGAATACAAGAACATCTTATCTAACTACTACCTATGGAATGGACTTTATAAACTAGGATAGTAATTAAGTTCCTGCAATCTCTTTTGTATCCTATGCTTGCTTCCTCCTCTTCCATGTACATCCTGTGTGATTGATCTGCATATGATGGCTTCTGATCTTTGAACTTTATTGAAAATCCTGCTATTCCTTTCTTGCCTTATGTAGTACAATTTTCCTGCCAGCACAAGTTTGTATAGCTCAGCCTTTGTACTCCTCCCTTTGTAGTACCTCTCTGCCCAGTGAAGTTCATCTGCCCATATCATTGGTTGCCTATGAATGCCTTGCCATTGTAGCATTGCTGCCCATATTCTTGATGCATAACTACATTTGAAAAATAGGTGATCCACTGTCTCCTCCTCTCCATTGCATAAAGAGCATGTTACATCCTCCACATATCCCATACCCCTCAGCCTGTCTTTTGCCATTAGTCTCCTATGTGCAGCTAGGTAAGCTATGAAATTCCATTTTGGAACCCCAATACTGCTATGCACCAGTTTCCTCCATGACACTCTATCAAACTCCCCCCTCAGTTTCCCATATATGTTTTTTATAAAGAATTTGTTTATCTCCTCTATATCCCTCTCTTGATAGATTGCTTAGCCTTCAGTATCTTCTGCACTATCCAAGATGCTTGTTTTGGTGCAGTGTTCCATATTGTATCCTGCTTCTTGTAATATACATATATCCACTGTACCCATAGTCTGTCCTTCTTCTTACACAGGTTCCAAAGAAGCTTACATATGGCAGCCTTATTCCACTCCTCTATATCTAGCAAATTAAGACCACCAGCTGCTTTAGGTTTACACAAGTAGTCCCATGATAGTAGAGCTTTCCTTGATGCTTGTTTTGGTGCAGGGTACTCTTTTCTTAAAAGGTTTTTGTTTAACCAAAAAATGGGATTTTAGTCAAAGCTAGAATTTAGAAGAACTCGGGTTACTGATAATCAAGAAAAGGAATAAAAGAAAGTAATTCTGAGTAGCAATTTGATAATCAAGAAAAACGAATGATAGCAATGTATATTTCAATAGTATTCTCCCTGTCCCACAACTGATTACATATCTCCTTTTTATAGGTTCTTTTGAGAACGTACGTTATGCCTAAATCATAATGAGGCTATTATGAGTAATTAAAGACATTGAATGCTACGTTACACAATCATTACATTGAATACATATTCTTTAACGTTTTCAGTATTTAATGCCCATTAAATACTGTATTTGGATGCTCATGTGCTGTTAGATCCATTCCCTTGATTCTTCACGATCCTTGAGCTCTAAATGTCTTGAATAGGTACGGGCGTTGAATTACTTGCATGACTGCTCGTACCTCTTCTATTACTTTGCTCGTATCTGCTGTCGCTCGTACCTCTTAACTAACCTTAATTCTTTGACTGTTTGACTAGTCTACATGTCATGACACGTCATCTCCAATATACAAACTCAATTTTACCCAATACAGATAGTCCCCCCACTTTCCATTTATTCATCAGTTGAATATTTGGGAAGTGGATTTCATTAAAAAGGAATTTTTATCACCATTAATGCTATGACAAAAATTGACGCTTCAATTGTCGCATCCATTTAATGCTCCATACACGGGTCATTTTCTCATCGACTCTGCAGTTTTGCAGCCCTTTTTAAGGCTTTTTTACGGCTCCACTATTCACGAAGTGCCAGTTACCTTTATTATTGTCTTTCCATCATTGCACTTTTCCCCTTGATGGTTGTTCATTAATATATATATAAATTCCTCTCTTGTCTTTTTCCACATAAAGCTTTATTGAATAGTTTATCCTTCAAATCACTGTTCACATCTTTTTCATATTGTTCTTCTTCGTCATGTCTTCTTCAAACCCTAACCCTAGGAGAGTTCCTATTTTAGATAACTTTCCCAATGCCCCTGTTAGACATAGAAGGGGTGGTAGGTTTCGTAGCTTAGGATCTACTCGTGGTGGTGGTTCTCCCGTGCCTTCTCTTAGTTCTGGTCCTTCCTCTAGAACTAGAGGTTCTTTTACCCAAAAATTATCTTCTAAGGGTAAGGAACCCTCTGAACCATTACAAGAGCCCTTGGTAGAAGAGATAGTCCCTAATGATTTATCTTTTCACCATGATAGGCAATCACTTCAAAGCCAAGTTTCTGGTTTGGATTGTGCTGACGCTTATCCCACTTTAATTACAGAGGTTTTAGCTCCCATAGTCCGCAAAGATTGCCACTGGAGTTCTAATTTTCCCATTATAATCCCTTATCCAAATCAGAGAATTACTTCCTATATGACTGGACTCTCTTTTGTTTATACATACCCCTTTACTCTTGGATTTAAACCAGCTATTGATCCAGTGATTCTCAATTTCTGCCGTTTCTTCAAAGTCTGAATAGCGCAAATTGGCCCGCTTGTATGGAGGGTTGTTGCTTGTTTAAGGCATCTGGCCAACATGGCATATGTTGATTTTACATTACCTCACCTAATTCATCTCTACTCCCCTAGGCTTTTTCGCAATGGCATTTTTACCTTAGTGGCTAGGAGTAAGAGGGTTTTAGTGAGCCCAGAAGATGATAAGGATCGTGGCTAGTATGCCCGATTTGTTGCTGCCCCCACAGTTGGTTTAGTGGGTAAAGAAAACATTCCCTTCCCTGAGAAGTGGAACTTTGCACGTAAGTCTTTTACCGTTCTCGTACCTTTTTCTTTCAAGTTTATCAATTTCTTTAACTTTGTTTTCTTCTACCTTTTTTTTAGCAACCATGGGAGTTGTGGAGAACGTTCCCAATTTTCATGGTTGGGTAGATAAATTGTTGAAGATCGCGCCTATGGAGGCTAGGTCTTGGAAATCCATTTCCAATCGTTACAGTTGGAAAGTAAAGACTCATGGTAAGAGTTTTTGTCTTTCTCGTATGTAAAGTTTTTCCTTTTATTGTTTTAATTTTCACCCTTCTCTTTGTCAGGATTTGCCATTCGAGGTGTTTCTGCTGAAGCAGTTGCGGCCTCTCGTGCCTTTTCAGGAACTCTTTTTTCGTTAGAAAGGGCTCGGGACATACTCTTGAGTTCTACTTCTGCGAAAAGAAAAACCACTAAAGAGAAAACTCCGAGGAAGAAGATCAAGGTGGTTCCTTGGTGACGAGGCCAAGAGTTAGGAGACGTATCATCTCTGATGACGAAGTTGAAGTTTCTTGTCATCTTTCTCCTACCGGGCTTGTTCACCTCGTCTCTGATGATGATGATGTTACCCCTCATGACACTCGTGAGTCTATTAACCAGCTTTTCGTTAGTGGTGATTTAGGGCCTGTTTTAGATGAAGTTCCCCTGTCTTCCTTTTCAACTCCCACATCTGCAATTCCTTCTTTTCCTTCTCCTGCTGATCACGCCCAACTATGCCTTATAAACAGGACTCTGCGGACGTTGCAAATATAACCCGAGTATTACGCCCAGGGTCGAATGCACAGAGAGTTAACCTATCAACCACTATCTTCAGACCCACTAATTCTTCAGAATCAGCTTCCCAAATATTCAAATCTCAGTTGAATGTTCTTTAGCAACTACGCTTGCAAGTAACTAAATAGCTGTAAACTAAACTAATAAGGTTGTAAACAATTATGAGAAAAAGCTAAGGCAATGATTTCCCCTATTGATGGAATCCCTTCTGTTTATGCTCATACAAATTTACCAACACATCTCTATCAATCATGAACGCTAATCTTACCGTAAATCTCTCCCGAGTAATCACAGTAATTTTACTATTGCACTCTCCCGAGATACACTAGCTTACTTTATTTTGTACGATTCACTTTAGATTACACCCAAGGCTTCGTTATCCCTAATCCCGCCTTTAAAACCGCAATTATAGATTCCTCTAATAATCTAGGAGTGGTGTTGTTCAACAATACCCTAAATATGCACTCTTTTCCAAGTTATGCACACTAAATAGGCACAACTAATTGAGGATCCTGTCAATTAACTACAACAAATACGAAGTTGAACAAATAGAGATTAAACTAGTAATTTGTATTCACATAAACAAGAAGTTCATCACCCAATAGGTTCCATCAAAACCTTAGACAAGGAATTTAGCTACTCATGGCTATGGGAAAATAAACTAAGATTGAATTCATCATAAAAATCAAAAGAAAAGAAGAAAGATAGTTGGAGTATTCTCTCACAATGGTTTTCCTTGCTAAGAAACCTTAAAAATCAATACATGCCTCTCTTGGGCGAAGTCTAATGTTTTAAATAGGGTTTAGGTCTAAAAATCCCGTGTTTTACACTTTGGTCCCTGAAGTTTTCTGCTTTCGCCGTGGTTCTGTCACGGTCGCGGTCAAACCGCGGCCAAAAGCCTTCTCTGATTCTGAAATCATCCGCAGCTGTCTTCCACCGCGGTTCTACCGCGGTCGCGGTGGAACCGCGGTAAAACCAGTGCTCTGGATCTTCGGCCTGTTTTGCATGGTTTACTTGGGAAATTGCACAGTTGGCCTCTTTTTCACCAATTTTGACTCCAAAACTGCTCCTTAGCCTTCCTTATACATATATCACCTACAAATCATGAAAAGCACTAATAAGAGCATTTTGTTATCACTTTTAGCATTAAAACTACATAAGAAGGCGATTATTTAAGGTGTGATTATTGTCAAATTCACCTATTATAAACACCCCACACTTAAACCTTTGCTCGTCCTCGAGCAAACTAAACCACACTTATAGGCCTAACTGCTCAATGCATTGCCCCAATTTATGTCACACCTGCTATTATCAATGATCGACCTAAGCAGAGCACAATCATATCTCAAATGCAGACTCTCATGCCAAGACACACTTGTGCTTACTCTAATTACTCTAACAGAAGTAAAGACTCACTTTTTCTTCCTGAGTCACATGCCCTCACATAAACAAAATCTGAGAGAAGTTCCACACACATATAAAATTCAACAACAAGGAACCATATATAGAAAGAATTCACTCACTCTCAGCAAAGAGCATTCACATGCCACACAGACACACCATAAGCTTGCCCCTAGTGTAATACTCCACTAATCGAGCCATTCAGTCAAAGATCAAGAGGTCTTTATAGGTTGTAATGTAGGCTAAGGGACGGGTAGGATATATTTGGATATAGTGACTAACCTCCCTAAGCACTTTTAATACACACTTCCTTTTATTTCACCTTCATGTTCAACCCAATCATTATTCCACATTTTGTTTCACTTGTGACCCCCACTTTTCTTTAGGTACAACTGGCTTCTTCTTCTTCTTTTTTTTTTAGATTTATTGTACACTGCCAGTTCACCAATCAGAACCTTCATTCTTGATTCCCTTTTTTCACTAACTCTCTCCCACCCCACACTTTGACTTTTGTATATTCTTTAGTGATTCAAGTGCTTCTAGGTGGTAA